TTAGCCTGAAAAGATAGGTTAGAATCATTTAGTTAGGCCTAATTTCTTTCCTCAATGCCAGTCACATGTTGTCAAATACTTGCTGGATCTGTCTTTTTTTCCCCTTTACTTTTTTTTTTTAATTAACAAAAAAACAAACCCCTTGTATCAAGTATACTACCAAGCAAAAGAAATTCCTGCATTGGCCATGTCCAAAAATATATGTCTCATTCTGCATTTCAAGGCCATCATCTTTGTTAGAAAGAAGGTATTATGCTTCATCACTGGTCCTCTGGTACTGTGGTTGGTCACTATGCTGATCAAAGAATTGTTGGATATGTCTACCTGGACATATTACAGGTTTCTCATACTTGATGTGTCCAAAATGGAGCTTAATACTCCCTACTTCTCCAATCTACTCCTCCAGACTTTCTTACTTCTGTTGAGGGTACCACCATCTTTCTAGCCATCCAGGTCCAACTTAGGAGTCATCTTACCTAGACTCTGCCCTGTCCCTCAACCTCCATATTCAATTATTTACCAACTGTCACATTTCCCCCATTCATCCCCTTCTTTCTTTCAACTCACATAGCCACAACCTTAGTTCAGGCACCACCTCTCACATGGACTATAATAACTTTCTGGGGTCTATGGGGTTGTTCAGGAGCGCTAGCACCTTGGCAAGCCCTTTTCAGGGCTGCTCATCCACACTTTGTATTCACCTGATTCACCCAACTCTCGCCTGTGGCTCCAAGAAGCTGTAGCATATGCAGTGGCCATACCCAGGCAAACGATCTTGACAGACGGGTGAAACCAGGTTGAGGGTAACTGACAGGTCTCAAACCTATTGGTGAGTTAGGGGGATGTCTACCATAAGCATGTGAAGACTTTCCCCAGTAGAATGGGTAGAGAGAACAATTTGTTCCAATGGCCATGAAGGTGGCTGAAGCAGGTGCTGTAGAGAGCTTAGAGCTTGGTCAGGCATCAAAGACACCAAGGTCATCCACTGCATCCTGGACCATTGCTAATCCTCTTGATTTTTGTCCTGCCACTAGACTTTGATGACACAGGAAGAGAGAGTAAGGTGATGACTTTGTGCCTCATTTTAATCTAATTCATACACAAGTCAAGATGTCACCCGTGATGTCATCAGCCCTCTTCAAAAATGAAGGACAACACACTTGACACTTACTAGCTGTGTGACCCTGGGCAAGTCACAACCCTGATTGCCTCACCAAAAATAAAAAAAAATTAAAGACAAACAACAATAGACTCCTAATTGTTCTTCCATCTCTAATATCTCCATTCTACAGCCCAGCCTCCAAACAACTGACAAAATAATCTTCCTAAAACATGGGTCTGACCACATCATACCTCTGCCCAAAATCTTTCAATGGCTCCCTTTTGCCTACAGGATAAAATAGAAATTCTTTTTTTTTTTTTAATAGAAATTCTTTATCTTGGCATTTAAGGCTCTTTATAATCTGGCTCCCATCTACATTTCCAGGGTTATTTCACATGACTCCCCTTCACAAACTCTGAGTTCCAACCAAACTGGACTCCTAGCCAGAGGTGGGGAACCTGCTGGAAACTCAACCTTCTATCTTCTGCCTCCATACCAGCATATAGCAGGTGCTTAATAAAAGTGTGTTGAATTGAATATGTCTATCTTATGCTCTTCAAATTGGCAAATGTGACCAAAAAAGGGAAAATAACCATTATTGGAGGGACTGCAGGAAAACAGATGCATTAATGCAGTGTTGATGGAACTGATCCAGTCATTCTGGAAAGTAGTTTGGGACTATGCTCCAAAAGTTGCTAAATTGTGCACACTCTTTGGCCTAGAGCACTCTTAGGCCTAGAGATTAAAGAAAGAAGAAAAGGACTTATATGTATGCAAATATTTATAGCAGCTCTTTCTATGATGGCAAAGAACTGGAAACTGAAGAAGTGTTCATCAACTAGAGAATGTCTGAACAAATTATGCTATATGAATGGAATGGAATACTATTGTGCCATTAGAAATGATGAAAGAAATTATTTCAGAGAAACCTAGGAAGACTTATATGAACTGATGCTGCCAAGTGAAGCACCTGGAGAACAATGTACGCTTAACAACATTGTAAAGACAAATAAATAGAAAAGATTTAAAAATGGAGATCAATGCAGTGACCAAAAATGATTCCAGAGAACTAACAGTGAACTATGCTACCTACCTCCTTACAAAGAGGTGATGGATTGAATATGCAAAAATGAGACAATCATTTCTTGGACAGGGTCAATGCAGGAATTTATTTTGTTTGATTATGCGTATTTTTACAAGGGTTTCCTTTTCCTTTTCATTTGGGGGCAGAAGCAGGAGAGAGAAAAAATGCTTATTAATTGAAATGTTGCAGTTGAGTCATTTCAGTTGTACCCAACTCTTTATGACCCCATTTGGGGTTTTCCTGGTGAAGATACTGGAACAGTTTGCCATTTCCTTCTCCAGCTCATTTTATAGATGAGGAACTGAGGCAAACAGGGTTTAATGACTTGCCCAGGGTTACAGTTAGTAAGTATCTGAGGCCAGATTTGAACTCGTGAAGAGGAGTCTTCCTAACTTACAAGCCTGGCACTCTACCCACTATACCACCTAACTGCCCCAATAATTACAATACTATTAACTGAAAAATTAATTGAAATAAATTTAAATAGATTGAACTAATTTTTTTTAATTAAATGAATATGCCTAGGAATGTGCCAGGTAGCTTGGAATCACAAGAAAAGCTGAATGGCTCAGGGAAACTTTCCCACTGCTCTCCATTACAGGTAAGACATTGTCTTTGCATACAAAGGAAGCTCTCCATGTTTGCAGGCAATGGAAAGAGCATTAGCTTTGGAGAGGGGGGCGGGGCCAAGGGGAGGGCCTAGGTTCAAATTCTGCCCGTAGAACTTTTTACCTGCGTGACCAAAGTCACCTACTCTCCCTAGGTCTCAGTTTCCTTATCTATAAAAGGAGGAGCTTGAACTGTGAGATCCCCCTCCAGCTCTCCCCATGTGGGTCTCTCCACTGGACAGGAGGTTTGGGAATTCTAGACTTCGGATACTAGAATTCTGTATCAAACATAAGCAACAAATCAGATGGGAATGGATGAGAGAGTAGTTCTTGGGTCCTAATCAAGTATAAAGAAGAGGGTATTTCAAGAAGTAGGAGGAAGTCTGGAGGCCATCTAGTTAAACTGTCCTGGAGAAAGGAATAACCTTTTTGATGTGAATGAGCAATTTCTCTCATCCAGGAAGATATCTCTGGATACAATCCCAGGGATAGAGAAGAATAACAACAGAAGAGTAAGGAGAGATGACAAAGGTGTACTTAGTGATGAGACATATAAGAGAGAAGAGAGAAAAAAGGAGTTAACAGACAGACATGTCATATGTAGAAGGAGAGATGTCCATGGAAGAACAGATCAAATCTGATGCCCATGCACCCCTGCCCCAGCTTATTTGTGAGTTCAAGAAGGCAGCAAATAGGCAGGGCCTGGCTGGTCCGCAGAGCTGACCAATGGCCTCCATGAATGAGCAGGGGTGTGTGTCTTAGAGCATGAGAGAGATCAGTTATTCAATGAGTATTTATTAAGCACTTACTATGTGCCAGCTACTGAGCTAAGTGCTGTGGCTATAAAGAAAAAGCAAAAATAGTCTGCCCTCAAAGAGTTTACATTCTAATGGAGGAGAAAATGTGAATGTATATGGTACATGGAAAAAAAAACCACAAAGTGGATGCAAAGGAATTTTAAAGGGGAAATCCCCAAAAGCCAGGGGAATGAAGAAAGGTCTCCTGTAGAAAGTGATGCTTGAGCTAAGTCGTCAAGGAAAAGCCAAAGACTCTGAGAGGTGGAGGTGAGGAGGCACGGAGGATAGGCAATAATACAAAGGCAAGGAGATGAGAAATGGAGGGCCATGCATGAAGACCAGCAATAGACAGAATGACTGAACTATAGAGTACATAGAGGAGAGTAATGTGTAAGAAGACTGGAAAGGTAGAAAGAGGCCAAGTTGTGAAGGGCTTTAAAATGCCAAGCATTTGATACTTGGTCCCAGAGGCAATAGGGAGCCACTGGAGTTTATTGAAGTGGGGAGGAGGTACGATGGAGCAATTTGAGGCAGGGAGACCAATTAGGGAGCTTTTGAAATAATCTAGGCAGGTGCTGGTGAAGGCCTGAACAAGGATGTGTGAGTATAAAGAGGAGATCACAAACAAGAGATATTGTAGAGATAGAAAAGCCAAGATTTGGTCACTGACTAGCCATGTGGAATGGGTGAGACTGAGAAGGTGAGGATGGGACCAAGGGTTCAAACCTAGGTGACTGGAAGGATGATGGTGCCCCAAAGAGTACAAACTTTGGAAGAGGAGGAGGATTGGGGGTGGGGGGGGGAATATCAAGCTCTCTTCTGGACAGGATGGATTTGAGATGCCTGCCGGACATTCAGTTCACAGTGTCAGAAGCATCACCAGGACTGGCTTTCTAGATCTAGTAATTATTTGCACAGATTACAATTGCACCTATGGGAGCTGATGAGATCAGACAGGGAGCTTCTGTGTCTTCTGGTTCCTTCCCCCCTCCCCACCTCCCAGAAGAATGTAAGCTCTTTGAGAGCAGAAATGCTCTTACTTTTGCCTTTGTATCCTCAGGGCCTGGCACAGTGCCTGGTACATAGTAGGTGCTTAATAAGTACTTGCTGATTGACTGGTTGACCTACTGCTCTGGTTTCCCCAGGGTCACCCCATCGAGTCCTTGATGCCGGTATCAACAATGAAGGCTCCATCTTCTAGTCAGTTCATCTTGAGCATAAACCATCCAGGTGAGGGACCTGGTCACAGGAATCATTGGGAATAGGGCCATGGAGGTATTTGGAGGTAGCGAGCCATCCCAACATCTCCATAGCCTTTCTCCCTTCCCCCATCATAAGGAAGGAATCCAATCTTTCCTTCATGCCCCATGGTATGTGAATGTTGTGTGCAATGCCAACCACACCAAAAGTATTCACAAAACAACACAAACTTTAATGGGTACTCAAACTTGTAAGGAAGAGAGGGGCAGTGCCACCCAGACCATGGTCCCGCCAGCAGACCCTGCAAGCTCTGGAGTATCCCTCACCTCCATCTAATCCCCTGCCCTCCTAGCCCCTCTATAAGGCAAGTAGAATAAGGAAGATTCCTGTTGCCTCACAGTGCCCATTTGGCAAAGGGTGATGGTGGAAAGGACATCCCTAGGGAATTCATCTAGGATGGGAAGACAGGGAAGAAAATCTGGGCAAAAGTAGAGTGCTGAGGGCAAGGAGGCAGTGGCATAGTTTAAGTCAGACTGATTTCCCAAGTTCACCCAGGTGCCTGGGAAGGACTGTTTTTCTTGTCCTGGGATCCCTGTGGGCATTTGAGACCATGTACTAGAGGAGAAGGGAGAACACATATCAGAAGAGCTGAGCCCTTATTCAGTGCCAGCATTAGGCGGATGAGCAGAGTGGTATCAGAGCATACACAAGCATTGGCAGTACTCTGTGTATTGGTTGTAGGGTTCAAGGCAGGCTGCCTTGGGAGATCATGCCTTGCTTGTGACCAGAGGGATGCCCATGGGGTCAGTTCCCAAGATTTCTAGCATCTTCCCCAATTGATGCCCAGGGATGAGTTGCTGGGGCAAACACCCAGTTGGCATGCTGGTGTTTGCTTTGTCTTATCTGTGCTTCCCCTCCCACCCTGAATGACTGGGTCCCCCCCTATTTAGAATCGTGTAAGGTTCCCACAGCCTCCTTCACCGCTTGAAATATGGCCCAGTCCATCTATGAGAGACAGAAAAGAGGAGGATGTATCAAGTGCTGCTCCATAACTGGCCCTGGCATATGGCTTCCTCCACCCAAGAATTTCCCTTTAACCCTTACCCACAGCTGAGGGCTTCCTTGGCATGGGTCAAATGCACAAGATGCCATCTTTCCCATGGTCCACAGCCCCCCAATACTAAAGAGCACTGAGTGGTACCCTAATTGAGGTCCTCACCTGGCTATAAACCTGGCGGGCATCAGGGGGGAGGTTGGGTGCCTGGTGGCAGAGCTGAGTGGAGAGCCCAATGGTCTCAGGAGACAGGAAATACTGGGTGACGCTGACTGAGTTCACCAGGCCCTGAACCTGTGCCAGGGAGGAGAAGCATATGTAGGAGAGAGAAGTCACAAAAATGATACACTCTTTGGTCCTCAAGTTCTAGATAAACACTTCTCTGATGCCCCCTCCCACGCTCTGGACTCGGCGCTTAGGGGGCAAGGTCTATGGTACAGGTTTGAGTGTAGCAAGGGGTACCTTGTGGACAGCTGGTACCACCTTCAAGTAGGGAATATGGTAGAAAGGGCACTGAGATGATCACAGAAGCTGCTTTAAAGAGATCATCTGTTTCACCCATGAAGGACCTGAAGTCCACAAAGCTGAGGTCACACAGGTAGTCATCAGCAGATCCAGGATTTCAACCCGGATCCTTTTGACTCCAAATCCCATACTCTTCCCATCTATTATACAGACCACGTCTCCTAATAAGCCATTGCTGCCTCCCATCTGTACAGTTCTGATGTTGAATGAGACGTGCAGCGTCTAGCAAAGGTCAGGGATTGGTTGTTACTCTGAGTAAGCCAGTCTCCCACCCTGCCTGCCCAGACCTGGTGAGGGGCCCCCGCGGGCACCAGCACAGCCTCGCCGGGGGCCTGTAGAAGGGTCCAGCCGCTCACACCCCACTCCTCCCGAAGGCGTCGACGCAGTGCAGTGTCCAGATAGCAGCCGCCTGGGGACCCTGGATCCAGGGTGCCTGCTCCAGCCGGGCACACCTAGCAAAGAAATTTAGAGGCTCTTACAGTTAGAGCTGAGAGGGATCTCAGGGAATCGGGAGCTCACGTGGGGGTGTTGCCTCTTCCCCGCCTCCCACTTTCCCCACTAAGAAAGGCCAGGGCCGCTAGAAGGATGCCATAAGGCTGGATCCCTTGGACTACTTCGTCACTTAGGTAATAGTGAGGGGGTCTGAGATGGGGAAAAAAAAGGAGACAGGGACAAACAATGCAGCCCCAGGCTAAAGACCATCTAGGCCTGAGACTTCTGGGGTGGAAAAAAAAAGGCAGAAATAGAGAGATGAAGGGCTGAGGGTTGCCCAGGTTGGCAGGCTCAGAAATGTGAGATGATGGGACTGAGGAGAAAGGAGGGAGGGATTAAGGACTCAGAAACTGGGTAACAATAGGTAATGTACTCAGTTTAAATGCCTTATTCTCTCACAGCAAATGGCTATAAGACCCTCTTGATAATAGCATTTATAAAGCACTTTACATATGTTAACTGACTCAATCTTCACAACCACTCTGGGAGGTAGGTGTCACTATGATCCCCATTTTACAGACGGGCCAACCAAGGCAGACAGCAGTCAAGTGACTTGCCCAGGGTCACACAGCTATGAAGTGCCTGAAATCAAATCTTTCAGGCCCAGTACCCTCTCCACAGTACCCCCAGCCAGCTCTCTAATCCTCCACCTTCCTCTCTACTTATGCAAATTTTCCCCATCTCTTTCAAACCAATTAAGAGCCCACAAGGGTCCTTTTTTTTTTCCCTCAGAGCTCTTATGGCACATGCAGTTAGGGAACATTTACTGCCCTGTATTTTTATATTCCCTCTCTCTCCATGTGGGTCCTGTCACTTCAACCAGATTGGGTTGTCTTTGAAGATGGTGGGGTCCACGCCACGCAGATCTGCAAGCCAGAGCTGCAGGACCACTTGCTGGGGACATTAGAGATGGAATACTGGTTCAGGTGTGGGTTGGAGTAGGTGGGCTTTGAGGTCCCTGACACTTCTGGGAGTCTGTGACTATGAATTCCTTGGAGGACAAGGACTGAGTCCTATTCTTTTCTCCCCCATTGACTCTAGCCTAAGACTGGGGTGTGCAAAACGCCTATAATGTGTTTGTTGAATTCAGTCAATAGAACCCGAGTTTCATAAGGGCAGGGTCGAACTCATTTTTGGTGTTGTATTTACAGGGCCTGGCCCATATTAAGTGCTTAATAAATGCCTGTTGATTGATCGGTTGAGCAGAACTGCATTGCTCTCTTATAGTCAACCAATTAGAATCCTCCATTTAAAAGTTGTTTTTTTTTTCCTGCAACTTGTAATAAATTCATACCTTTGTTGAGAGGCAGCTGGGAATAATAGGGTTTTAGACAAAGAGCCAAAAAGACCTGGGTTTAAATCCCATCCCCAACACTTAGAAGCTGTGTGACCATGAGCAAGTCACTTACCTTCCTATATCTCAGTTTCCTCTCCTATAAAATTAGGATAATAATCCCTGTATTACCTACTTCAGATGGTTGTAATGAGGTCAAACGAGAGGTTACATGTGAAGCTCTTCGCAGACTTCTAGGAGCGCTGGATTTGCAGTCAGAGAACCTGAATTCAAATCCTGACTCTCATTTACCACCTACATAACATTGAGCAGATACAACCTGTCTGGGCCTGAGTTTCCTCACTGGCAAAATGATTTAGATTACATGGCTTTGGAGGGTCCTTCTCAGATCCATAGCAATGACCCCAATGTCAGATAATTATTATTATTACATCTAACTTCTCTTATTCCTTGTGGATTTTCCTACCTGAAGCAGACATTCTAGGCAGCTCAAAAGCTAGGTGAAGGCCACCCTCTCCACCTGCCACCCCCCACTCCCTACAACCTCCCCCCTCTCCTCTCCATTCACACAGATCTGTTTCTGGACTAGCAAGAACCCGTAGTGGGTCCAGTCTTCAATGGACCTGAATGTGCCACGTGACCCCTATAGTCCAGAGAAGCTCCAGGGAAACTAATACAGTACAGAGGTTTCGAGAAGCTAATTTGCCTCCACAGCCAATCTAGGAATTCAGGTCTACACTAGAGTTTGGGTTAGAGTCCTAAGTTTACTAAAGGTCTACCCTAAGGTAGATATGGCAGGCTGAGGGAGTTCCGCCTCCCTAGTTACACAAAGCTGGGCTGCTCAG